ATTCTGAGTTTATTCTGGCAAAGAAACACGGAGACCCTGAGACAGTCAGCCCACCGGCCAGAGGTCACCGTTTACCCACAATTCATTGCTGTAGCACCTGTATGCGCTCCCTGCAGGCTAAACAGTCTAGAAGAGCGCGCTGCAACACAACATCTTGACCCCAGGGTCAAAGTCAGGGACAGAAACACTTTATTTAGAGTTAACCCTGACCCCGCATGACCCCAGGTAAACACAACCTCAAGTAAGGAGACATACAGGTCCCATCAGTCAGTTAGCCTAGCTTAGCTTAGCATGAAAGCTGGCCGCAGGAAATCTGTTAGCTTAGCTTTAATTAGCATCCAGGCTAGAAGCAGGGAACCTGTTAGCCAAGCTGCGCCCTGAGGAAGACAGTAAGGCTTCTGCGGGTGGAGAGCCCTCAGTTTGGTCTGTCAGGCTAAGTTTAAGTTTGAACTGAAACGTTTAAAAAACGTATTTCCTAAAACGTTTGTCTCCATGCTCTCCCCATCATTGGGTAACCCCACCCGTCACAGGCAAGGAGCCAACTGAGGCCAAATACAAGCATCACTTTCTCCTTGCCAGATTCCTGCTAACTGGAAAATAAACTGTATGTCTGATCATTATCATGCTCTGTAGATGCTGCTAGCTTCTGTTAGCATCTATTAGCTTTTATTAGACTACGTTAGCTCCTGTTAGGACTTTTTAGCATCCATGTGCTCCTGTTAGCTTCCATTTGCAACCTTTACCTTCTTTTAGCGCCTGCTAACATCTGTTAGCACCATAATAAACAAAACCAATCCTTCGTCATGAGCTGACAGCTGGCATGGGGGTCAGTTGGGGGTAATTATGCACAAACTATAGCCCTCACAGTCTGATTGCCATGTTTATTATCTTTCTGTCCAGTCAGGTGGCATGATGTCATGAGGAGGCGGAGCTTAGAAACGGGAGGTAAAGTACAGTGGGAGGAGCATAGAGATCCATGACAGGATGACCGTCAGCGGAGTTGGATCCAAGCCAGCTAACCCGCTGCGGCTAGTTTACAGAGAGCAGAGGAGGCACCGTCCTCAGTCGGACATGTCGGCGTCTTTCTCAGAATCCGCCACGCTTCAGTCAGCGCCCGAGTCCTGGTCACAGTTCCAGTTGTGGTCCTAGCAGAGCTCGGTCCTCCTCTGCAGGTACTGCAAGATGGCGTCGGTTCCCTGCGAGGAGCCCCAGACCCTCTTCAGGGCTTCACACTCGCGCTCGTTAGCTTGCTCCAGAGCACTGCGACTCGTGTTCCTCATCAGGGCCTTGGACTCCCGCAGGACCTGCAGGACAGGAAGTGACACCACACAGAGGAGGAAGGACAGAGGCTGTGATAGGAGCAAGTGGATCAATGAGTTTGTGTACTGATCTCTGATCTGAAACCTGCGTGTAGGTGACATCAGTCACAGAGGACAGCACCTGTGGGTGGGGGTGCACCACCACACCAGCCCGCGGCTGACCCCGCCCACCTTGAGTTTTAGGCTTCAATGTCACGCTGCACTCACCTGATGAGGGTCAGCGTCTGACGTCGGGGTGAAACGTATCACTGACATTTCACCGCAGACGCTTCAGTGCTGACCTTTGACCTTAGCCCCACCACATAACCTGTTTGGAGGCTTTAGATGATCGGGAATCAATACAGTAACCATGGAAACGTGTGTGCGTGTATGTGTGTGAGAAAGAGAGATAGGAACTGACCAGTGAGTCAACGGCGACCAGCTCTTTAATCCGCAGCATCACTTCCTGTGTGAAGGTCCCCGGCCACAGCACCTGAGATACCAGCCCTTTAAGACACGCCTCCTGAGCTGTCAGCTTCCTGCCGCTGAGCAGCAGCTCGTTTGCCTGAAACACAGCACAGGAAGTGAGGCGGAGTTGCAAGGCAAACCACGCAGGACATTTAACCGTGGAGGAAGCGGCTGACTGACCGCAGCGAGCCCCATGATGCGAGGGAAGGAGAAGGAGGAGCAGGCGTCGGGCGTCTGGCCGTACGCCGTGTACGGTGTTTGGAACCACGCCTTCTCATTGGCCCACACCACATCACACAGCGGCAGAATGGCGGCGCCGAGGCCAACGGCCGGCCCGTTCACTGCCGCCACGATGGGTTTCCTGAACTGGATGAAGGTGTTGATGAAGGTCCTGAGGAAGAGGGCACAAGGGTCAGGGGTCAAAGCGCCCAGCTCACTGATGCAGCGATTATTCCATCGAGGAACCAGAACAAGCACAAAAACACGGGCTTTTCACAATAAAAGCTTCCAGTTTATCAATGACTCTCTTTGCTCTGAGAGTCGATGTTAATTACTGTTAACTGACGTCAGCGCTTTGGTGGGATGGCGGCACAGCAGAGCGCGTTCCCGGCGTTCCAGTTAAAAGGGCTTCAAGACGCAAAGAGGAACGAGCAGCAGGAAACACAGGTGCTGCTCACAACATTAGAATCA